CCACGCTCACAGGGAAGGATTCCTTCCCAATATCCCATCTAACCCTGCCCACTGGCAGTGGGAAGCCATTGCCCCTTCTCCTGTCATTCCGTGCCCTTTTCTAAAACCCCTCTGTCTCTTTTTTCTCAGCTCCCTTTAAGTCCTGAATGGCTGTAAGTTTCCATAGGAAGAAGTGTAGAATTCCCAGAGGGATTTTCCCCCTGGTCTCATCCTCCCTGGCGATGAACCACAGCAGTCAGCCTTCATCCGTGTGCCCTGTGGAGCACTCGGAGCAACAGTGGTGATCCCTTAGGGGAAAGTGAACCCCCTGGGTGCGCACCATTTGGAATCAGCTCCTGCTGGAATTGGCCATGAGATGGTTCATTGTGAGCTGGCCCCAGCGGGGGTGAGTCAGCAGCACAGGTGCCAAGAGCCAGAGAACACTTCCTGGCAGTGCTGGCAAGTCAGGCAGCTGGTGCCGGGGAGGATGCAGAGAGACCCCACAGCAGAGTTTGGGAACCCTTGCCAGAGTCACATTCCTGAGGTACGTTAACCGCTCAGGATGCCACTGTCAAGTTTAGGGCAACCTCAGATTTTGGGATCCCCCATCGGGCCAGCCCCAGCAGGTGTATGACCGAGAGCTTGGAATTCCAGGATACTTTTGATGTTTATTCACATGGACACTGGGGAGCTCTCACAGCATCAGTGTCCAGGGAACATGGTACTTCCTGACTGTGGACCTAGTCCAGGGTGTAAGGTGGTGGGAAGGCAGCAGGATGGGGTCAGTGTCCCCTCAGGAAGATCCAAGTGCCAGTATCCAGTGTGGGAGTTCATTGCCTTGGGATGGGCATTCCATGGAATCAGAAAGTCTGGGAGCAGTGAGTGCTGTGGAACACTGGGTCAGGGACTCTGGTTTGGCCAAGGAAGGTGAAACAGAGGAAACCACTCCTGTGATGGAGCACAACAAGGGGACATCGGGAGGTACAGTCAAGAGCTCATCACCGTCCAAGGTCCCCATGGTGTGCTCTCAGTGTCCTCAAGATCCCCATGATGTTCCCAAGATCCCCATGGTGTCCCCTCAGTGTATCCCCAAGGTCCCCATGGTGTCCTCAAGGTTGTCCCCACGGTCAACCGAGTGGCCTTGAGGTCTCCAATGTGTCCCCAAGGGTAGCCTTAAGACTGTCATGGTGATCCTAAGGTCCTCAGTGTGTTCTGAGTTCTCCAAGGGTGTTCCCAGTGCCTCCAGGATGGACCCCAAATGTCCCCAAGCTGTCCCTCAGAGCATCCCCCTTTAAACTCCAGCCACATCCAAGGCCAGAATGCAGCAATAGGAAACTGCCCTGTCAAACACCACCTCCTTCCACGTTCCCAGTTTATTGCAGCATGGAAGGAAAACGAGAGACGCACATCCACCCCACAGGTGCTCTGTGTGCTTATTTCAGGTTCCTGTGGCTTTTTAAGGAAATTTTTTGCATTATGAGAGTTTAAACCCATGGGAATGAAATATCCCCAAGGAAACATGGCACACTGCTGCAGGTGGCTGGGGAAGGGCTCTGTCTGCCCTCCATCCCACCTCTCATCCTGATTCCACACTGAAGGAGCCAGGAATTCCAGCCCTGCCACAGTGCTCTGACACCTTTTCACAAGCTCTTCATCTTTTTTTTTCCTTATATCTTACATTTTTAATTCTATTTCCCTCATCCACACACACGCTTGGCTTCTGTTTGAGTTTTCCACGCTAGTAGCTTTTAATTACACTGGGATTCCATATTAATTGCATATTTACCCAAAGCAAAGGGCTCCGTGCTTTGTCATGCAAATGCCATCCCATGAATCCTGCAGGGTGGGTTATCCTCTCCTTCAAACGCCGCACGTCCTCCCCGCTCCCCTCCCTGCCGGTGCCGCCCCGGCTGTGTCCGGAGGCGATGGAAAGCTGGCAGCCGGCACCACGCGGCCCTGCTCCGGTGGGCTTTCCTCCCGGGAAGTCGCTTCCCAGGAAGACTCCAAACCTACTGATTACAGGGCAAACGTTGCATTCAAATCTATCAAACCAGAGTCAGGTGTCAGCATCACGTCCATGAGCGGCTCCAGGGGCTGGAGACATGTGGTATTCCATGTGGATGCGGCTGGTGATGAAGCTGGCGCTGTGTTCCTGACTCCCTGTAACACGCTCCCCCCTGGATATGGTGAATTTGAGCAATCCCAGAGATGCACCTGTATTCATCCGCCTCTTTCCCAAACCCCAGGGCACTGCACAAGGCTACATTTCACAGTATTCCAGCTCCATTCTCCAATTTTCTTCCCCAAAGATGGAGCTGGCACTCCTCAGGTTCTCTGGGATGGGCACTGAAGGGCTTTTCTCCTCCATCCCAGGCTCCTTGCCAGCAGTCTTTGGCCCTGGAGCTCCTTTGGCTATGTGGGACAAACAGAATCCATATCCCTGCTCTGTCCCCCTCCCAGCCCAGCCAGCCCAGCTCTGGGATTGATCCCAGTTTATGCTCATGGGTTAATGGAGCTGAGACAGGGTTTTATGCTCCTTCCATCATGGAAATGGGAAGCTCATCATGACAAGAGTGTTCATGTGCTCACTCTGACCTTTCTCATGGACTGGTTGTCCTTTCTGCTCTGCCAGGACACTCCTGCCCTCCCCATGTGTCCAGAGGGACAAGCTGATGCCCAAGGACAATTCCACCATCAGCACCATGCCATGCCAGCCATTCCCAGTGGCTGTGGAGTGCCATCCCCACACCATGTTCCCAAGGGACATTGTCTTCCTAGAGACATCCATCTCATTCTGGCACTTTCAGCCGGCTCCTGCTGCTCCTGGCCATGCCCAAAACACACTCTGGCATCTGGAGTTTGTCTCCTTCCCTCTGGGGGACTTTTCCTGTCCCAGCCTGGCCCTTCCCTCCCAATCCCAGCTGAGCTCCTCAGGCTCCCTAGCACCCCACAGGCAGGTGCCTTGTGGCAGGTGTCCCCATGGGTGCTGGCATTCTGGGTTCCTGCCCTCGCCCCTGCTCTGTGTCCCCAGGTGACCCTGGTCCCAAGGCCATTGTGTCCCTCCACCCTCTGCCCCACACATAGCATGCTGACCCCATGGGCTGGGAGCCAGGGCTGGGCCCAAACCATGTGTTGTGGCCACCTTGATCCTCTCAGGTGAATGGGACTCTTGTGTCCTTTGTGGGGTGTCAGCCAGCACTGCCCTGCACCCACCCCAGGCACTGCCCCTCATCACGTGCCCTTCATCCCATGCCTGAGGCACCCACGCCCTGTGCCCTGTGCCCAGGTGTGTGCCCTGCACCCTACACCCAGGTAATCTGGGGCAACCACTCCCTGCACCCAGTCCTATAGCCTGGGCAGGCCGGGTTGAGCCACACTGTGCTGTACCGTGCAGTGCTGAGCTGTGATGGGCAGTGTTTTGGCATGCCATGCCAAGCTGTGCCATTCCGAGCCATGCAATACTGTACCGAGCTGTGCTGTGCCATGTCACACTAACGAGCCATGCCACACTGTACCGAGCGTGCCACACTTTACAGTGCCATGCGATACCATGCAGTGCCACACAGTACAGTCATGCCATACCATACCGAGCCGTGCCACACCGTACCGACTTGTGCCGTACATATCGAGCCGTGCCGTAACGTGCCGTGCCGCACCGTACCGAACCATACCATACCGTATCGTGCCGTACCGTACCGTGCCGCACCGCACCGTACCGCACCGCAGTGAACCGCCTCGCCCCGCGCCGTCCCAATCGGCCCGGTGCCCCCCGGCGCCGCTGCAGCCCCTCCCGGCGGGTGCCCCCGGCGGTGCCGGGGCCGGTGCCGGTGCCGGGGCGGTGGGTGTGACCGGGGCGGTGGGCGGGGTCTGTCCCCGTGTCCCCGCCCCCGCCGCGCTCCTGGCGGTGCGGGACGGGCCGGGCCGATGGCGCGGGCGTGGCCGTGGCCGTTCGGAGGCGTGTCCCCGCTCGCCCCCGCCCCGTGTCCCCCGCCCGCCGCGCTCGGCGGTGCGGGATGGGGCGATGGCGCGGGCGGGCGCGGAGCCGCCGCGGGAGCTGTCCCTGGAGGAGGTGCTGAAGTGCTACGAGCAGCCGCTGAACGAGGAGCAGGCCTGGGCCCTCTGCTTCCAGGGCTGCCGCGCCGCCGCCGCCGCCCCCGTAGCCCCCGCGCCGCTCCGCACCGCCGACATCCGCCTCCGCGCCGACGGCTCCCTCCGCCTGCCCGCCCCGCCGCACGGTGAGGCCGCCGCTGCACGGGAGGGGCGGGAGCGGGCGGTGCCCGCGCGGGGGGGGACGGGACGGCACCGCCGAGAGGGGCTTACCGGGGCTTACTGGGGCTTGCGGACACCGGGACTTGCTGGGGTTTACCGGGGCACCGAGGCTTACAGACACCGGAGCTGGGCACCGAGGCTTGGCAGCACCAGGGGTTACCGGCACCGCGGGAGCGGGGCGCCGGGGTTTACCACAGCTTACCGGAGCTTACCGGGACCCGGGGTTTAATGGCACTGGGGCTTACCAGGGCTTACCGGCACCGGGACTTACCGGCACCGGGAGCGAGGCACCGGGGCACCAAGCTTATTTTCCCTGGGACCCGGGAACCTGGACTTACTGGCACCGCAGCTTAGCAGGACCAGGGCCTGCCGGCACCAGGAACAGGACTTACCGGCACCGGGGCTTACTAGCACCGGGACTCGCCATATCGGGACTTACCGGCACCGAGACTTACAGGCACTGGGACTCACCGGCACTGGGTCCCGGGGCACCGGGTCTTACTAGCATAAAGAGCGGGCACCTGAGACTTACCGGCACCGAGACTTACCAGCACGGGGACTTACCGGCACCGGCAGGGGGTGCTGCACCGGCGTCGGGGACGCGGAGGGACGGGGGATATCGGCTGGGGTGGGGGGGCAACCGCAGCGGCCCCGGCGGGAAGGACCGGGTCCGGTGGAGAAGGACCTGTACCGGGAGCGACGGATGGGCAGGAGAAGCGGAGGGGGACAGGCACAGAGGCACCAGCCGCAGAGGAGCGGTGCAGGGAGGGCACCGGAGAGGCTGGGGGAGACTGTGAGGATGGAGAGAGGCACAGTGCCGGCACCGGGGGGCAGGAAGGCGGCAGAGGCAGGGACGGGGGTGAGCCCCAAGCCCTGGCCCCAGCGATGGGGACCAGCACTGGCACTGCTGGGATTGGTGGGGAAGGTGGGCTGATTACTTCAGGGTCCAGGGCTGGTGTGGTACCAACACTGGCACCAGCAGGGTCTCCTGTGTAACCCGATGAGGCTGGACCTGGATGTGGGGGTGTATGTGGTCCTGGCATCCACCGTGGTGCTGCAGGACACACACGGCAAGGACAGACAGACACAGGGACACCCACAGAGACATCCATAGGTTGCCCACACCCGCACACGCAGGGCACCTTGTCCTCCCCCAACCCCCCGTGAGTGGCACACAGAGCAGCCCCATATCTGACCTTCAGCCTCCTGGCCATCCCTCCATGGGAGACTGGCACTACCAGCCACGGCTGTGATGGTTCTGGGGTGTCACCAGGCTGGGCTGGCTGCCAGGGGTGACACTGGGCAGCTCCAGGAGCATCTGGAGTGCAGCCAACACCTCCACCTGTCTTGTCCCGCAGGGAGGCCATCAGGGCTGGTGATGTGGGGTCACCACACAGCCTTGGTGCAGGTGGCCAGGGCAGTGGGCAGGGGGCTGAGTGTGTTGGGCATCTCCGTGCCCAAGGCAGGGACACACACAGGCACGGCACGTGCCTGTGGCAGCTGGGCATGGTGTGGTCACACCGGCTCCACTGGTCCTGCTTGGGAATGGCCCCACGCCCTGCCCTGAGCCACTGTGGGGCTGGAGCCGGTGTCACCTGCCAGTGTCACCATGCCAGTGACACTGTACCGCCTCCTGCTCCCAGGTCACTTCTGTGCCAACCTGAGCCATCTCCCCAGGGATGAACCAGGCCTCTTCACTGTGAAGCCTGAGGCTGGGAGGGCTCCAGGTGCCTCTGGGCACCATTGCAGGTGATGGTAACAACCTGGCACATGGCTTGGCAGCTCTGCCTGGGCATGGGGCTGGATCCATGGTGGGTGAGCCAACAGCACCCTCTGGAGCCACTCCAGTCCCCTGTCCCATGGGAACTCCCTCCTCAGCTGTGTCCCAGTGGCTGGAGGGAGCTGCTGGGACCCACTGGGCTCAGCCTGCCGGCCAGTTAGCAACTACAGAGTGATGATGGCATCCCAGGGCTGGCAATGCATTGGGAGCTGGGCATGGCTGGGACAGATGGGTTGGTGGTGGGTCCATGTGTGGCATCATGACCACCACTGGAGCTGCTCTTGCTGTCTGTTCATGTCTGGCACACGACTGGCATATCCTCTCAGCTGCCGCATTGATCAGCTCAATGCAGAGCTAATGCTTGGGAAGCAGAGCTGGGAGCTCTGGGGACACTGCAAAGGCCAATTGTGTTCCTCATCCTGCAGCTGGCAGGAGGATTTGAGCTGCCACAAGCATGTCTTGGGCTCTGTGTGTGTGTGTGCCATACTCCATTTGTGGCTGCCAGTACCCACACTGTCAGTGCCCACGCTGCCGCTGCCCACACTGCCGCTGCCCACACTGCTGCTGCCCACACTCCTGGTGCCCACAGCCTAAAGGGATGCAGGGGCATTTCCCCATGGCTTCAGAGCTCTAAGCTCCCTTCAGCCCTGGAGGTGAGGGGTAAAGGAATGCCTGTGCCCCCCTTATGTGCCCCTTGGAGGCAGTGCTGGCAATGCCCAATGCCAGGACTCAGTGTGCGGGTGCCCACTGCCCCATGGAGCCATGCCCTGGGACCAGGACAGGTTGGGAGCAGCCAGGAATGGGAGTCCCAGGTTGGGGTAGAAACTGCTGGGGGTGGGACCTGCTCAGGGTGGATGCCTCCCAGCTGAGCTGGGTGGACACCACATCCCCAGGTAGTGTGGGGTGGGATGCCCAGCATGGGGCTGTGGGTGCCAGAAGTGACTCTGCCCTCCTTTCCCCAGACCTGCCCGTGCTGCTGACACCCTCCGCTGAAGCCCAGGTATGTGGGGGCCAGTGACTGGCCTCATCTGCCATCACACCACCACCCAGTCCCCTCGCCCATGAGTTCTGGGATGGGACCCAGCACTGATGGGTGAAGGGGCAGCTGGTGCCAGGGTGCATCCGATGCCCAGCCCCTGCCATGTCCTGCAGATGGTGCAGTCGCTGGGCTTTGCTGTGTACCGGGCACTGGACTGGGGGCTGGATGAGAATGAGGAGCGGGAGCTGAGCCCACGCCTGGAGCAGCTCATTGACCTGATGACCAACAGCGACTCAGAGGACAGCGGCTGTGCCACGGCTGATGAGGGCTATGGGGGGCAGGAGGAGGAGGAGGAGGGGAGTGAGGGGCTGCCACGCGCCGTGCGCACCTTCGGCCAGGCCATGCGGTGCTGTGCCGCCCGCCTGGCTGACCCCGCCGGCGCCCCAGCGCACTACCAGGCCGTGTGCCGGGCGCTCTTCGCTGAAACTGTGGAGCTCATGGCCTTCCTCGCCAAGATCCGTGATGCCAAGGAGGTGAGTGTGGGTGCCCACTGGCACTGCTACCTAGCCAGGGAGGCCAGCCTGTGCCCTCTCTGCCCATCCCACCGGGGCTGCTGGTGGAATGTATGGCGTTTGGCCATACATCTCCCAGAGCACTGTGCCAGCTGGGAATGGGGGAGTTTTGGGGTGTACCTTGGTGCTGTAGACCCATGACATGGTCTCAGTTGGACCCTCAGTGCCACCAGGGCAGGGTGACAGTATCTTGTACCACAACAGCTGCTGCAGAAGCTGAAGGAGGATGAGGAAGAGGAGGAGCGGCCAGCGGCGGAGCTGGGCAGCCTGCGCAACACTGACTGGGTATGGTGGCATGCTGGAGCACGGGGATCATGCTGGGGATGAGTGGGTGCTGACACTGTGTCCGTGTATCCTCCCAGGCCCGGCTGTGGGTACAGCTGATGCGGGAGCTGCGGCATGGTGTGAAGCTGAAGAAGGTGCAGGAGAAACAGTTCAACCCACTGCCCACTGAGTACCAGCTCACGCCCTTTGAGATGCTCATGCAGGACATCCGCGCCCGCAACTATAAACTCCGCAAGGTCATGGTGAGTGCAGCCACCGTGCCAGCCCCTCACCATCCATCCTGACATGCCCCTGCCTGGCACTGACCCCCTGCCCTCCCCAGGTGGATGGAGACATCCCCCCCCGGGTGAAGAAGGATGCCCACGAGCTCATCCTCGACTTCATCCGCTCCCGGCCCCCCCTGAAGCAGGTGAGCACTTGCACTGGGACATGTCCCTGGCACAGTGCCATGCCCACCCTGGGAGTGCCATCCCTGAGCCACGGCTACCACCTGACGTCCCATCCACACATCCCACAGGCATCAGAGCGACGGCTGCGGCCCCTGCCCCAAAAGCAGAGGACGCTCCATGAGAAGATCCTGGAGGAGATCAGGCAGGAGCGGAAGCTCCGGCCCGTGGAGCAGAAAGGTACCGGTGTCCCCTCCCTGCTGTGACACGCCAGCTCTGTGCCCATCCCTGTGGCGCTGAGCCCGTCCCTCTGCAGGGTACAGCTCCCTGCCCTGCATCCCACACGCCTGTGCTGGCCGCCTGGCCTCCAGCTCCTGCCTTGAGCTCTCCCGGTGCCCGGCCAGTGCCATGCCCACGCGCCCACGGCCACGCGTCCTCCTCAAGGCGCCCACCCTGGCCGAGATGGAGGAGATGAACCTCTCTGAGGCAAGGGGGGACCCTGGAGGTGGGGGGACATGGGGGGGTGCCAGGTCCCTGGGGTGATGTGGTGCCCATGGCCTTGCAGGACGAGGACTCCCCAGGCACAGAGGTGCTGCTGAAGCGAGATCGCTCCTTCTCGGAGCAAGACCTGGCACAGCTGCAGAGCCAGCTGGGGGGTGACCAGGCTGCACCCCAGGACCCGGAGCCGCTGCAGCCTGAGCCCCGGCCCCGCTCAGGTACAGCTGGAGGTCCCCTTGTCCCCATCCCCAGGGGGCTGTGTCATGCCCTGTGGCAGCAGTGGCACTGGGTAACATGGCCTCACCATGACCTCCCTGTCCCTCCTCATAGGCTCTGTCCCTGCCAGCTGTCACCGGCTGCCAGATGGCCCAGCACCACCCCGAGCTGCCCTTGGTGCCGTGGAGGAGAGACCAGAGGATGGATCCAGCAGTGCCCCCACCACTAGCTCCAAACACCTCTGGCTGGTGGGTTCTGTGGACACCGTGGCTGGGGACATCTGGGGCTGAGGACACCAGGCAAGCGTAACTGTGGGCACATGGCTCCCTCTGCCACAGCTCATGGTGACATCCCCCTGTCCTGCAGGAGTTCAGCCACCCCGTGGAGAGCCTGGCCCTGACTGTGGAGGAGATGATCAATGTCCGCAGGGTGCTGGTCAAGGCTGAGATGGAGAAGTTCCTGCAGAGCAAGGAGCTGTACAGCAGCCTGCGGAGAGGGAAGGTGGGAATGAGGCCAGAGAGCCAGAAGGGTTGGTGGGGGTGTGCCCCAACTCACCCCACTCTGCCTGCAGGTTTGCTGCTGCTGCAGGGCCAAGTTCCCCCTCTTCTCCTGGCCCGCGGCGTGTCTCTTCTGCAAGCGGTGAGCACTGTGCTGTGCCGTGTCATGGGGCTGGGAGGGTCCCTGGCAGCAGGGTCCCTGTGGTGGCCCCATTCACACACCTCTCTCTGTGTCCCCAGGTCTGTCTGTAGCTCCTGCAGCCTGAAGGTAAGAGCCTGGCTCTGGGCAGTGTCACTGTGTCCCTGTCCTGCCTTGTCCCATTTTGTCCTTGTCCTGTCTCTGTCCTCCCTTGTCCCTGCCCCATCCCATCCTATCCCTGTCCTGCATCCTACTTGTCCATCCTGCCCTATCTCTGCCCCATCCCATCCCTGTCCTATCCTGTCTCTGTTCTCCCTTGTCCCTGCCCCATCCCATCCCTGTCCTGCCCCATCTCATCCCTGTCCTACTCCATCCCTAGCCCTGCCTCTGCCCAGTCCCTTATCCCTGCCCCACCCCGTCCCAACCGTGTCCCATCCCACCCCTGTTCCCGTCCCATCCCGCCCTGACTCCCACATCCCGGCAGATGAAGATGCCTTCCAAGAAGCTGGCTCACATCCCCGTCTACGCGCTGGGCTTCGAGAGCCTCCCGGGTTCGCTGCTGCCCAAGGCGCTGCCGCTGCGCCGGAGGGAGCCCTTCCAGTGAGTCCCCGAGCCTTCCTCCCCGTTCCTCCCTCTCCTCCTCCTCCTCCTGCTCCCGGCGGGTGCTGACGGAGCGCTCTGTGCCTCAGCTCGCTGTCGGGGTCGTGCTGGCGCCGGGTGGAGGAGGAATTTCCGCACATCTACGCGCAGGGCTCGGTGCTGCGGGACGTGTGCCCCGACTGTGCCGGGTTCGTGACGGACGTGGTGAGCTCCAGCCGGCGCAGCGTGGCCGTGCTCAACGCCAGCGCCGCGTCCCGGCGCCACGCCAAGGCCCGCTCCCTCTACAGCGACGCCTGGCTCCAGTGAGGGGCCCGGCGCCCCGGGGGTGCTCCCCGATGTACATATATACATAGGATGGATACACACAGCCTCTATATTTATATACGTTATGGACCAGGGGCAAAGGACCCATTCCCGCCGTCCCTTTCGATCCCTGCCACCAGCCCCTGGGGGGAACAAGTCCTGCCATGGGGCACCTGCAGCCCCTGAGGGGATGGATCCCACCGCGGGGTACCCACAGACCCCGACGGGATGGATTCCACAGTGGGACAGCGCCTGAGGGGGTGGATCCAGCGGTGGGGTACCCGCAGGCTCCGGTGGAACGGATCCAGGTGTGGGACACCTGCAGCACCCGGGGGGAAGGATCCCACCGTGGAGCAGCTCCTGGGAGGACAGGTCCTGCTGCGGAGCACCCACAGTCTCCGAGGGGATGGATCCCACCATGGAGCACCCTCAACGCCCAGATGGATGGATCGTGCTGTGGGACACCCGCAGCCCCCAGAGGCACAGATCCCACCGTGGGGCAGCTCCTGGGGGAACGGATCCCACGGTGGGGCACCTGCAGCCCCCGCATTGGCTCCCCCCAGCCCTGCTTCTGTGCCAAGCCCTGGCTGTGCCGGGGTGCCCAGTGCCCTGGGCTGGCACGGCTGCTCTGTATGGCCCCCTTCCGATAATAAACCCGCTGGGCTGCCCTGGGGCCGCGTGGTTGGTCCTGAGTGGGTTGTCGGGCAGGAGAGCGGAGTGCCGGGTGCTAGGGGATGTCAAGGGGCCGGGGACCACCACCCCCTGCACTCCACTCCATCCTCACATCCGCCTTCACCATCCTTCCTATCCCATCCCACGGCAGTGCCCACCCGCGACACTGCACAGGACCGTGGGAACACCCCTCTCCCCATTCCCATGCTCATTCTCACCGCCTGTCCCCCCGGTTCCCCCGGCCCATTGCCGGGTGTTCCCCGTGTCCCGGGGCCGTCCCCCCGCCCCCCCGGGACATATTTCACGCGGGGCTCGCGCGAGGGGCACCACGGAGGTCGCGGGGGGCGTGGCGTGGCCCAGCTAATGGGCGCGCGGTGCGGGGTGGGCGGGGCCGGCATGGGCGCGCAGGCGCGGTGCCGGGCGCAGGCGCGGTGCCGGAGGGGGTGATGTCGCGGCGGGCCCTGCGGCGGCTGCGGGGGGAACAGCGGGGTCAGGAGGGGCCGGGGCTGGGCCAGCTCGGCATCGACCCCGGCCCCGAGCGGGCCCGAAGGCGGGGCCGCCGCCGCCGCCCGGCAACCGGCCCCGCGCCGCCGTCAGCAACCGCTTCGAGCTGGTGAGGGGGCAGAACCGGGGGTGGAGGGGCCTGAGGGGGCGCGAGGGTGAGCGTTGGGGGCGGTGGAGTGGGGGCAGCTGTGAGTGAAAGTCACTGGGTCACTGGGGGGACAACTGGGACGACAGTGACTGTGGGAGCGACTTGGGGGGCAGTCACAGGGTGACAGTGACTTGGGGGGCAGCTGGGTTGGCAGTGACCGGGTGGGCAGTCACTGGGAGGGCGGTGATCGTGAGGGGGTCACCTGCGGGCAGTGGCTGGGGGGGGGTTGAGGGTGTCTGGGGGGAACAGGAGAGCTGGGGGTGACAGGAGGTGTGGCAGAGGAGTCAGTTGGTGGGAGGCAGTGATTTGGGGTCCGTGACTGGAGTGGGACTGAGGGGTTTGGGTGTTGGGTGACTGGGAAGGGTGGGGAGGTGCAGCTGGGGCTGAACTGGGAGGAAATGGCGGGGAGGCCTGGGTTTGGATGTTGTCAGAGCTGGGGTGGGCAAACTATTTTTAGGAACACTCCTGCCACCATTGTGCCCTGCAGGAGCACAGTGCTGGAGGTTGGGGGTCGTGTGGGCCCTGGTGGTACTACCAGGTCTTTGGGGTGACAGAGCCTGGTCCTGCTCTCCAGACACCTCATCCAGCTGAGACTGTTCCCTGTTCTTCCCCAAGGCCTGGCTATTGGAGCATAGGCAGGGCTGGGTTTGGAAACTCTTCCCAAGGAAGAGCAGAGTCCAGACAGGTCTGTGGTGTGAAAGGACCCATTGTGGTGTCCCTGTGCTCCCCTCCACGGGCGTGGGGCTGTCCAGGCACCTGCTGGGTGATACATTTGACATGAGGGGTCGTTCCTATCTGTTTGTAGGTGGAGTGGTAGATCAGATCCCTGGGGAATTCCATCCCTGCACTGTCCCTGCAGTTTGTCCCTCTGTTTGCAGATCCCTGCCGAGGAGTCGGAGGATGAGCCGCTGACTGAGGAGGAGCGAGTGGACACCCGGCTCAGCGAGCAGGACACGGCAGGAGGGAATAAGGAGAGGAATAAGGAGAGGAACAAGGAAGGGGCTGTGGCTGAGGACACGGACGATGGGCAGAGAGAGGGGGAGGAGGCCGAGCAGCCGGACCAAACGGTAACTGCCCCAGGGACCCCGTGGTCACCACGGGAGGGGCAGAGGGACACAGGAACAGGTCAGGGACACACACAGGGAGCTGAAACCCAGGAACTCAACTCTGGGGGAGGACCAGCAGTTTGGTGCTGAGTGCTGGGTTTGTGTGTGGGATCCAGGGAGATTTTCCACTTGCAGAGAGGAGGCTCCCAAGGAAGACCTTGTGCCACACGAGAGCTGGGGCAGGACAGGGGCTCGGAATGGTCTCAGGGAAGCATTTGTTTTGGAACAGGGGATGTGAAGGCTCCAGGCAGTGTCAACTAAGCACTGAATGTGTTCTTCCCTGTAGTGATTTATTGTTGTTTGGTGTCATGATTCACTCCCGTGGTTTGTATCAGCTCACAAGTGTCTCCTTGCAGGATTTTGTAAGGAAAGGGACATTTAACTACCAGTTTTCCATGGCAAGTTTGGCTTGGATCTCACAGAGATGAAGGTTGGAGGAGCAAAGTGGGGTTGGCCCCCTGGCCTCACCTGTTTGCTGTGCATTTGGGTCGTGTGCCCATGGGTTTTGGGTGCCAGAGGGGCAAAGTCCACTCTCTGTGCACATTCCAGCTGTGCGAGTGTCTGGGAGTGCTCTGGACAGTGGGTCCCTATGTAAGCAGTGGCTCCAGGGGCCCTGACCCAGTGAGTTTGCTGTGTCAGCATCCCAGGACACACCTGTGGCTGCTCCCAGAGCTCCGTGGGAGCCCTGGGCAGGTGGACGCTGCTCTTGGGTAGAGCCAGACTGGGGCTGCGCCTTCCCTCGGTTATGGAACCAATGTGGGGTGGTTCTGGTAACACCATTACTTGATAGGACAAGGAGGAATGGCTTCCCACTGCCAGAGGGCAGGGTTAGATGGGTTACTAGGGAGAAATTTTTCCCTGTGAGGTGGGTGAGACCCTGGCACAGGTTGCCCAGAGAATCTGTGGCTGTCCCATCCCTGGAAGTGTCCAAGGCCACATTGGACAGGGCTTGGAGCAACCTGACGTAGTGGAAGATGTCCCTGCCCATGGCAGGGGGTGGGACTGGATAAGCTTTGAAGTCCCTTGTGCCCCAAACCATTCCAGGATTCTGTGATTCCTCTCTGTATTACCTGCTAGATCCTGGAAATGTGTTTTTCCAGCTCTTCCCCAAGGAAGAGCCAGCATGGGCAGTGGTGTGCTTGTCACTTTAGGGAATGCCACACAGCATCCTGAGCTGAAGCAGCTGCACCTGCAGGGAGAGGAGCTGCATTTTGCTGGGGCCTTGCAGCAGGTGTTGGTTTCTGTAGAAATGAGAATGACCAGTGAAACTGGAAACTGTCCCACTCACTACAAAGACAGAAATCCAGCTTCTCCTGGAAACTAAAGGAGGATAAAGCAGTTCCTCCACACCTGGCATGGCTAAACTTCTGTCTTTACTGGTTTTGTAGCCTCAGACATTGATCTGAAAGTCAGCTGAGATTTAACTCTTTGGGAAACTCTGGTGCTTTATCCATTTTCTCCATGTGTCTAAATTTCCACTCTCTGACAAACAGTAAATGATGAATTTTGATTTTGTGTAAGGGCACTTGGTGTGCTGATCCCAGTGGGAAATGCTCTTCTTCCCATGGAGCTGACACCCCTCAGAGCATGCTGACAGCTCTTCCCTTTGTCTTTGCAGCCCACATCGAGTAACAAGCCACGGAAGAAAAAAAAGAAAAGGAAAACCAAGAAAACTTCATCAGGAGACACTGTGGTATGTCTGTGTGTGCTCTGAGTCAGGGATCAGGCTGATTCCTCCAATAGGGCCTGCAAAGTGGGAATTCTGGGGTGGCTGCAGGAAAGATTTGAGGCAAAAAAGCCATTTCAAAATGTAAGTGTAAAGAAGCATTTTTAGAATCATGGAATCCTGGAATGGTTTGGATTGGAAGGGACCTTAAAGCTCATCTCATTCCACCCCCTGCGATGAGCAGGGACACCTTCCACTAGACCAGGTTGCTCCAGGCCCCGTCCATCTTGGCCTTGGAAACTTCTGGGGATGGGGCAGCCACAGCTTCTCTGGGCAACCTGTGCCAGGGCCTCACCATTCTCATAGACAAGAATTCCTTCCCAATATCCCATCTAACCCTGCCCTCTGGCAGTGGGAAGCCATTGCCCCTTTTCCTGTCACTCCAGGCCCTTGTCCAAAGTCCCTCTCCAGCTCTCTTGGAGCCCCTTTAGGCACTGGAAGGGCTCTAAGGTCTCCCTGGAGCCTTCTCTTCTGCAGACTAAACACCACTGGCTCTCCCAGCCAGGCTCCAGCCCTTGGAGCATCTCCATGGCCACCTCTGGACTTGCTCCAGCAGCTCCATCGGGGAGCCCAGAGCTGGAAGCAGCAGATGAATAAAAACCATTGATCTTCTAAATTCAGTAGGAATGAGGTTCAGGTCGGAGCTGGTTTTCTGGTCAGATTTAAGTCTGAACTATCCATAGAATCACAGAATCATTAAGGTTGGAAAAGACCTCCAAGATTATTGAATCCAAATTCCCTGCTCAGTCCAGGGAGATCCTTTACTAAACATCCTGAGCCACAGGACGCTGAACTGCTGAATTGCCCAGCTGGCTACCTGCTCCCTGGGAATTCCACTCTGGAGTGAGCTCCAGAGGTGGAGAACTTAAGTGAAGAGGCCATTTCCTCTCCCACTCCAAGAATATTAAGCAACAGGGTGACATCTGCCAACTGGAGACTGAGGGGAGACCCAGACCCGGGCAGTTGGGTTTGCCAACCACAGATAATACAACCTCTGTTCCAGCACTTCCATGCAGAGCACGTTATCCCTTCCCTGTATATACTCCACGCGCAGGGGCTAAATTTAGTTGGAAAAGGCAAGCTGGCAGTGCTGCTTGGGTTTCCTGAATGGAATTCTGTGTTCCACCCACGAACATCATCAGGAGGATGCGAAACAGGCACGTAAGAAATGTGTCATTTGTGGGGGGAAAATAGAGGGAAATCAGGGTAAAAGTGTTATACAACTGTTGGATGTGAGCAGCTGAATGGATTCCTGAGGTGGTTGGAAGATGGGGAATGTGACAGTTGGGTTAAAGTCATGTGAGCATTTGAGACCTTATCACGGGGGTCACGGCAGTAACTTGGTACTTCCACGGAAAGTAAATGGTGAAGGCTGGTTATTTAAATATTTAAGTTGTCTTTGGGCAAGGGCATGGAGTGACAGGACAAGGAGAAAAGAGACCACTCTGAGAGGAAAGGGTTAGATGGGTTACTAGGGAGAAGTTTTTCCCTGTCAGGGGGCTGAGGCCCTGGCACGGGTTGCCCAGTGAAGCTGTGACTGCCCCATTCCTGGAAGTGTCCAAGGCCAGGTTGGATGGGGCTTGGAGCAACCTGGTCTAGCGGAAGGTGTCCCTGCCCATGGCAGGGGGTGGAATGAGGTCCCTTCCAACCCAAACCATTCCAGGATCCTATGAAGAGCCACAGCCCATTGCACAGGGATCAGGGTGAGCTGGAGGCGGCTGTGTTGAGATCTCCACTGGGTG